AAGATAGTTACACGCAAAATAAAATCGTCCGAAAAATATTGTCCAGTGCTGTACATATTTAATCTTTCGGCTAAGTAAAATTTAAGGAAACCAGGCTTATAATTCCTGCAACTTTGCTTTGTCGACTTTTTCCTTTCTAAAACTTGAGGAACTTTGAATTATTTTCATTTTTATGCAGAACCGTCTGTTATACAAAATCACACTCCGATATCAGTTTTCAACTTCGAATAGTTTGTTAAAGCGCAATATAGTGACATTTCTGACTTTTTAAGGAGCCTCTCTCAGAAAAAGTGAATTTTGGTCAAATTTATCGATATTATAATTTATAGCGCGTTAAATAGAACAAAGTGTCTACTCTCTAAAGCAGTATAATTTATTTATTTTATGACAAGATTTAAGGATATTACATAAGTTTTTTGGATCCTCCTACTCAAAAAATAGAGTTTTTTAAAATCTAAATTTTTTTTGTGTTTTTCTCGAAATTGATCTTTTTGGTAATGGCCGAACTGCGAACAGATTTTCTTCAATATACTTCGCTCGAGAGAGCTGCGGGTTTTTAATTGATAGATATTTACATAGACCTTCAGATGTGGGAATAGATTTTTTTAATTACTTGTCAATGCTAGAGAAACTCTCAGTTTTCTAGAAAGCCATACCTTAGATTTTCAGATTTTTGAGATTTTGATGATCCAAAAAATGAAATAGAGTAAAATTTAAAAAACCATTTCTCTCATTCGAAGCGGCAAGGATTTATCTTTCAAATAAAACCAACCCGAGCCCTGCAACGTGAGCTATAATGATGAAAACTTTGTCCACGTAAGAGCTCTGTTTTACAGCTTGGTACCCTGATATCTCCTGAACGGTAAGATATAGAGGCGTGAAGCTTTTTACTAATGTACTTCCATGGATCTAACATTTATGCAAAGTTTCATCAATATCCCATGTATCCTGTCGAAGTTACATTTTTGAGGACGTCCTTAAATAAACAAAGTATTTAACACCTCGACATCTAAGTGGAATAGAAACGTTGTTTCCTACTCTTGTCGTATTGTTTTACAAAATTTGAGATGGTATTTTGAATGAAATACCGCTCAACAATATAGAATTTGAATTGGCACCAGAAAAGTCAAATTTGCTTGAGATTATCGTTTAGCGGACAATTGTCATACGATTTTTTTGAATTTATGTAACTAGATCAATTTGAGGTATTACACAGCAAGGCATAAATTGAAGTCACCGTTAGACTGGAAAATCGAATAAACAAAACAAAACTTTCTGAGCGTTCTAGCACTTTGAGACACTGCTAGATGAACTTTCAATGTACATCCAATACTATAGTCCTACGCGGGTTCCAAAACGTGAATCCGCACTCGATCTGACAATTTTATTTGAACCTGAATCCGGCCAGTTCGACTCGGGAAATTATGTTCGTCTATGTTCATTAAATCAATCATTTTATAATATACGATTAAAATTGTTCCACTAAATAGTATTCGATTGTGGTTTCACCCAAATCGCCTATTCTCCAGTTTGAAGACCTTTCGAATATTTTCTTTTGAGCTCATTTTCGAACAACAACAGCAAAAGTATTAACATATGAAGAAGTATTTTTTATTTGATTTCATCTTTCTATGGAAATCATAGGGTATTAACTAGGGGTGGCGCTTTAACTTTATTTTAAAAGCTAAAGTTAGAGTAAAACACTTTAAACTTTAAACTTTAATTAAAGTAAAATACTTTAACATTTTAACTTTAAAAAAATTAAAGTTAAAGTGCTTGTACCATTGGTAGGAAACGACCATGCCCAGTTCTTGGATGCTCATCCACCTATCCTAGCCGGGATACTCAGCTCTTCATATGGCTATCCTATGAGGGATATTTCAGTCCTCATATGTAAGGATGTAACAATACCAATTGGTATTGGTGTATGGAGGGATCTATTGGTCACTCACGTCAAACATCAATATTTTGAAAAACTGGTCAGCAATTCGGATTCCTCGACCCCGAATACCTTCGATCAAACTTTATAAAAAAAATCGTTATTTTCGTAAAATAACATATTCCTGATGAAAAACTCAAGAATTTATAATTGGTTTCTCAAAATTTTCGAATTTGATTTTTTTCGTTAAAACACTATTTTACGAGAATAACGATTTTTTATAAAGTTTGATCAAAGGTCTTCGGGGTCGAGGAATCCGAATTGCTGACCAGTTTTTCAAAATATTGATGGTTGACGTGAGGGACCAGTAGACTCCCCCCCCTCCCCCCCTATACACGAATACCAATACCGATCAATACCAATTGGCATTGTTACATCCTTACATATGAGGGCCGAAATATCCCTCATAGGATAGCCATATGAGGACCTAAGTACCCCCACTGGAATAGCCAAATGAGGACTCAAGTACCCTCGCTAGGATAGGTGGATAAGGACCCAAGAATTGGATGGGCATGGTCGTTTCTTACTAATGGTACAAGCACTTTAACTTTAAATTTTTTAAAGTATTAAAGTCGATTACTTTAACTTTAACTTTAAACTTTAATTAAAGTGTTTTTAAAGTTAAACTGCCACTCCTAGTATTAACGTCGAATGAAATTTACATGTGTCTTCACCTGTAAAATTAATACATAGAGAAAACTTAGAACTTGCCAGTATAATATAGTCGAAGTGCATAATTCTAGCACATTTTTACGAAATGAAGTGTCACTTCTGTCTTTCATCGATAATTTATGAGCGGTTAATGAAATCTGTTATCCAAAACAGTACTGTTCAGACTCGTCAGTTTCAACTAAAAATTCGTCAAATATTATAGCCTCTATCATTCCTATCTTTCAGTCCTTATTTATATATAATCTTTAGTGCATTATACTGAGGATATTTGTCTATCCATTGTATAAAACGACTCTAATAAGGCACAGTCATCATTTTCATTAGTGGCTCGAACCTTGTTTTAACTGGTGCATTAACTTTAATACACTTTGAAAAATGTATTAAATGTGTATTAACTTTTCGACTAACCACGTGTCTTAACACACTATTAACTTTTGTAGTGTAGAATAGGAGTGTAAAGTTAAGTTCTTGTTATTTTTAAAATAACTCCTTCTGGCATTTCTCTAAATCTTTACATATGACTCATACGTAATTGTCCGTTACGGCTCAGAAATTTATGCCCTTTCTATTGATATATGATACATTAGATTACATTTACATTTCGCAAAATTGTAAAAAAAGTTATTTTGAAAATAACAATAACTTCACACCCTTAGTGTAGACCATGTCTTTATAAACAAGAAAGGAACATCGCATGTATTCATGTATTGTCATCTGAATACTAACCAGTCGATCTATACCTCATTATTCTTCGTATAAAACAAAGCAAAAAAAATAGCGGATAGAGGCGTATGTTGTGACATTATATGACCCAATATATTTTGAAATTAAGCCCGTACCGGATCCGACAATGTTGAACGTGCCCACGGGTCGAGTTGCAGAACTCTATCCAATATTCAAAGAAGCTGAGTAGAAAATCGATTACAGAAATGATTGATTAATGTAATGATCATTTGTCCTCTATACAGGTATCCAACGCTCGACGAGTTGAAAGCTATTGCTCGGATCTCACAGCAAAAAACTGATCCTGATAAAGTGGTCGAATATCTATGTTATGTTTTTGACGACAAGCGAGACAAGTTAGGATTCATTTTGGAACGAGCAATTGCGGTGCTCTTTTCTGCTAAATTTGATCTTCAAACTGGTCTAACTTATTTAAATGAATTTATACGACGTCGAGGATCATTGTATCCTAAAAGAAAAGAGACCGTTCATCTTTACTATCCAGTCGATTATAGAACAGATTCTGAAGACGATGATGATGTTGAAATAAACAAAAAAGATGTTACACACAATATATGGCATCTGGAAGGTATTATGGCTATGCACCATAATGATTTTCAAACGGCGACAAGTCGACTTTTTGCTCGAGCGATGATTGAGAAAAAGATGGTAACAAGAAGAAAACGAAACATGTTTCTTCTTGCTATGGTCTACTCGGCTATTGGCGAATGCGGATTACACTGCGGAAATTTGAAGCGATCAAGAAAAATGCTTCGTAGAGCTCGGTATTATTTGACAAAAGCAGATGTACAAAAATCGTCGTTCAATGTTCTGCTAACTGCTTTCGTACACATTCGATCGGGCACCTTATATTTTCTTCAAAAAAAGTATCATCGATCTATCAAATATTTTCGACATGCTATTAGCTTGCTTGAGAAAAAAGTTTTGTGCAAACTACAACAGCGACTCAAGGGAGCAGTGTTCTTTACGCGAAAAGTAAAAAGAGAAGGACATCGAACAAAAGAAATAACCACAATGACCTTTTCTGATCTTTGGGAAATGGTCGAGGAATTTACAAAAGAAAATTCTAGTAGTGGTGAAGGCTATCAAAGAAATAACGGTGGCATAGGCTGGTATTATCAACACTATGACGAAGAAGATACTGCTGTTCGACGAGCGATATTTAAGGTTCTCAAAACACATCGTATGTTCTTAGAAATTATTGCCATGCTCTACAGTGATTTGGCTTGGTGCTATCTTTTTACTGGTCGACCTTTGCTGGCTAGTCCGTGTATATCTAAAGCTGTTTATATTCGTGCGACGGGTTTGGACAGCTTTTACTATTTAGCACATACCAGGACTTTGGTCTGTTTGGCTATGGTTTACCTAGCATTAAGTGATTTTGACAACGCAGTCAAAACTTTGAACATCGCAATAACTTCATTTAAAATATACTCGCTTTTTGATCGCCATCATACGCTAGCATTGCTCTACGTTGAACTGGGCGATGTTTATACGTTAGCAGATAGCAGTGATCAACTTGCTTTGGAATCATATACAAAAGCAATGAATATGTTGAGCGAGATGGGTGACGAAGAAAATGTAACTGATATTCGTAATCATATACAACGAATGGAAAGACCGAGAAAGTTTGTCTTATCCACGAGCTACGCATTCAGAAAATGGCTTGCAAATAACAAGGCACGTATTGTTACCAAGAGCAAGAAGAGAGACTCCAAATTTGAATCGGAGCAAATCGAGACCTCTATTAAAATTGTATACCAACTTTTATAAGATAAGACTACATTGTCTATATGACGAATTCCTTGTATTTGATAATCCAGCGTCCATTCATAGAAAAACAAAAGCTTCACTGTAGTTTGCTTTTTTTGTATATGAAAAGGAAATTTTACAAAGTGTCTTAAACACTGATTGTTTGAGTTTTGTTTCTTACAGCCGATAACCAAGAGATTCTCAGTCAGTTCGCGAATCCTGAGCTTCTAATTGGTCGACAAGGAACCGGTAGCCTGAAAGAATAGAAGGCTAAACCACGCCGTGACCAGCTTCAACTGTTGCTCAAACATTCTAACCAAATGAATTAAAGCTATCTGCATATGAATTAGTTCACGGAAGCCACAATTGATTCTGCTCAATCGCATATTCCAAAATTCTGCTGCACCGGCAAACCCTAGTTTCAATCCTGTTCAATCCTTGATAAATCCTGGAAGGATCTTTCAGGATCCTGAATCTCAAGGATCTTGTCAAGTTTTGTTCAGGATCCTGCTTCAAATCCTGGTAATTTCTGTTTCCAGGATTTTTCAAGGTGAAACAAGATCCTTTTCAGGGTTTCTTCAAGATCCTACTCAGAGATTTTTCAAACTTGGGATTACAGGATCCTATCAGGATTTGCTCAAGATCCTTGATAGGATCCTTTCAAGATTATGAAAAAGGATTTGGCTATGACCTTTTCAGGTTTTCGCCAAGAGGGTGTGGGTGTGTGGGTGTGGGTGTGGGTGTGGGTGTGGGTGTGGGTGTGTGGGTGTGGGTGTGGGTGTGGGTGTGGGTGTGGGTGTGTGGGTGTGGGTGTGGGTGTGGGTGTGTGGGTGTGGGTGTGGGGT